GTCAAAAGTTTATGGTTTAAATTGATAAAATTAAAAAATCATGATTTATTTTGTTGCAAGGGTCTAACTTTGAGGATTTTTTGTAATTATCCCAACAATTTATAACGGAGATAGTATTTTTTAAGGTAAATTACATTTAGATACTACTTTTTAGGATAAATTACATTCACATTCCCTGAGATTAGGTGAAAATGCAGTGACCATCATATTTTTAATATAATTTCACTGATCTCCTTTATTGTTTTAATTCACATAATAATTATGTCTTTTTTAGTTAGTAATTTATTAATTATATGAATTAAGAAAATGATATTGCCATATATTTTTTTACTAAAGTGTATATTTATTTTGTTTATTTTAGTGTTGACCCATTATTTGTATTTATTTTAATTATTTTAATCTGACTAAAAAAGAAGTAAATAATTATGTTAAAATATGGGATTAACTATCTTTTGTTCAAATCTCGTGGAGGTTATTGTAATTGGGTCGGGCTTCCCTCCAGTCTATGATTAGACTAGAGGGTGTTGTTGGGCTCGTGAGCTGTGGCGGAGAGAGTGAAGGACCAGGGGGGTCACGTGCCCCCCTGGATTTTAGGATTTTTTTTCTTCAAATTTTGCAAACATAAAGAAAATATTTTAAATAAAAAAATTACAAAAGTATTATTAGAGTGAAATGTCGATGATATTTTAAAAATTATGAGAACAATAATGGTTGTTTTAATTAAAAATGAAGCGACTATTATAAACCATATTATCTATAAAATTTTTTTGAATGTAACGGTGATGTCATTATTATTGACACAAGTATAAATAATCTCACTATAAAGCTACAAATTTTTTTGGATTGTTAGTTACATTTGATATGTGAGGTTCACTCGCTATGTGTTTATGTACTATTAGTTGGTGCTATCACATATCAATAATGACATGGTATTACCATTATATTGAATTTTTAATCAAATTTTGTATAAAAAAAACATTTATCATTATATAATTTATTTTAAGACTTATATCCAAATTTTTTTGGTATTGTCCATTATATATTAGTTACAAATAACATTATTTTTTTGATATTTCTAGAAATCAATCGTAAAAACTTGCATGAAATATTTTTGAAATTTTTTTTGATATTGTAATTAATAAGTGTTCTCTCTAATTTAATTTTCTAATTTCGCCACTACTCGTGAGAGCTCACCACGAAGAGGCCGAGAGAAGAGAGGGAGGAGTGACGCCGTGAGGGAGAGAGGAGGAACGGCCGACGCCGACGCCGACGCTAACGCCGACGCCATCACCATCGCCTTGAGCATCGCAGATTCGCAGCAGAGAGAAGGAGAGAGAGACCTAGAGAAGAGAGAGTGTGAGTGGGAGAGAGGAGTTAAATGAGTCTTAAAATAACCTAAACACATATATGCGGTATATATATTCGGGGATATATACGAGGAGTAGTCGGGCCGGGACCGGGGCGGGGGCGGGGCCGGGGTTGGGAAATCTATCCCCGTCCCTGGCCCAAAAATGATCGGGGGTTTATTTTTTAATACCATCCCCGGCCCGTGGGGAATTTTTTTCGGGGAAAAATCGTCTCATTCGAGGTCGGGGGGTCGGGTCCCCGTCGGGCCGGTTTCAAATTGCCATCCCTAGAGGTTATTGTAATTGGGTCGGGCTTCTCTCCAGTCTATGATCAGACTAGAGGGTGCTGTTGGGTCCGTGAGCAGTGGCGGAGAGAGTGAAGGACCAGGAGGGTCACGTGCCCCCCTTGGATTTTAGGATTTTTTTTTTCTTCAAATTTTGCAAACATAAAGAAAATATTTTAAATAAAAAAATTACAAAAGTATTATTAGAGTGAAATGTCGATGATATTTTAAAAATTATGAGAACAATAATGGTTGTTTTAATTAAAAATGAAGCGACTATTATAAATCATATTATCTATAAAAAAAAATTGAATGTAACGGTGATGTCATTATTGTTGACACAAGTATAAATAATCTCACTATAAAGCTACAAATTTTTTTGGATTGTTAGTTACATTTGGCATGTGAGGTTCACTCTCTATGTGTTTATGTACTATTAGTTGGTGATATCACATATCAGTAATGACATGGTATTACCATTATATTGAATTTTTAATCAAATTTTGTATAAAAAAAACATTTATCATTGTATAATTTATTTTAAGACTTATATCGAAATTTTTTTGGTATTGTCCATTATACACTAGTTACAAATAACATTATTTTTTTGATATTTCTGGAAATCAATCGTAAAAACTTACATGAAATATTTTTGTAAAAATTTTCGATATTGTAATTAATAAGTGCTTTCTCTAATTTAATTTTCTAGCTCTGCCACTGCTCGTGAGGGCTCACCACGGGTTCCATTTCAATAATCCGAACCGTTCAATGTGTAGAACTTATCGAGTACTAAATGTCTGTAAAAAATCACGTTGATCGGATATCGATGGCTATCTCATCGATCAGATTTCTGTCAACAGTTTATTTTTTTACCATCCATTTTTTTATACAAAACTGATTTGATCACGTAACTATCGATATCCAATCAAAGTAATTTTTTATAAGTATATACTACTCGACGAGTTCTACATATTATACAGTTTAAATTATTAAAACAGAATCCGTAATGGACTTCATAGATTTAATAGTATCCTCCCATCCGATCACGGGAGGAAAGCCCGCCTCATTGTAATTTACTTTGTTTTTTAATATTGCATATGCTTTAAGTACGGAATTCACGTGTTTCATATACAGTATAATCAGCATTTCTTGTCCTTTTGGTTGACGTGGATAGATCTCAACGACCCTTTAGTTTTTAAAATAAATTAATTTAAAAAAAAAAAAACCAAATAGATAGCTCCGGAAATGCTCCATCATATTATATGTAACTTATCACAAAATATATAATTTTATTATAAAATTATGTAATATTAATTATAAAATATATAATTTCGTTATAAATTAACATGATAAAAATGTCGTAACCAAATTATAAAATTTCATAACATTAATCACAAAATTACAAACTTTTGCAAGACCAATTACAAAATTTTTAAAATTTTTGTTACGTCAATTTGTAGTGAGATTACACATTTTATGGTTCATATTACAAAATTTTATGATAAAATTATACATTTTTATGATAGGTTACAGATAATGTGCACCCCTAAATGTGCCGCTAAATCTCCCTACATTATTTGGGTTTTCTTTTTTCTTTTTTCTTTTTTCTTTTTTTTCTTTTTTTGAGGACTTGGGTTCTGAGAGTTTTGTGACCCACTTTGTTTGGTAATCTTGATCCTATATCTTCAAGCTTTGTATTGTAAGCTTCACTTGCTTGTTGTATCTGTTAACAGGTGTATGATTTCTTGAAAATTTCATGAAACAATGCTTATTTGAAATTGCAGAATAATCAGTTAGGCAATTGGTGGCTTGCATAGAAATGGAGACTGGTCTATTCATTAGGAGAACATGATGGTGGTGTTATTTTGTATGTGAGTGCGCATGAAAGTCATGGGTAGGACAAGAAATGCTAGTGTTTCTTCCTCAAAGCCGAATGTAGTGAATATTGGAGCTCTATATACCTTCAATTTTGTTATTGGACAATCAGCAAAGCCAGGAATTGAAGCTGCGGTTGATGATGTCAATTCCGATTCAACTGTTCTTGCTGGGATGAAATTGAATCTTATTTTGCATGACATGAACTGCAGTGGCTTCCTTGGAACTGTGGAAGGTAATCTCTGAATGTATACACTTGTATTGACAAAGAACTCTCTTTACTTGAGGCAACCAAAACAGAACATGTTATAAGGATTAGTTATTTGCATTGGCATAATAGGAGTTCGCTACTAAATATATTTTTTGTTGAGTATCAAGTTCTTTCTTGGATATAGAGTCTCAGTATAAGTTTCTTATAACTACACTACTTTTTGAAGATCTATGCTTCTAACGGCATGTTCCTAGTCTTCTTAGAAGACTAGTTATATAATTGCGACCAAACTGCCGACTTTGTTGAACATATTTTAGCCTTGATCTATGGATATTGTCCTACTACACCAACCATTGACAAAGAAGTCTTTTGATGTCTTTGTTGTTGTAATTTTTATGAAAACTAGAACGCCGAGTTTGGCATGAGGGCATTTTCTGGTTGCTCTTGGTTTAGTTTGGTAGTTTCAATTCTTTCTCTTTGAGTGATATTTGTCCCTTAGGAACTTTATTTGTTATGTATTTGTATGACATTTGAGTTTTCATTCCTGAAAGTTATGCCTAACGGTTCTTAGATATGACAATGAAGTTGTGCTAATATTTCGTATGAACAATGAATTATAAGCATGTATAAATAAAATGACATAGGGTAGAATCCTCAAGTACTGATCTAATTAGATATACTCCTGTGAAAGCATAGTTGTTATCAAATCATTAGTTGTTTTGGTATTAATAAGAGAAAACTATGTCAAAAATAATTTATGTTTTCTAGATCACAAGCAGCACTAATTAACCTACTCAAAGATGGTAAAAAAAAAAAGCATTTATAATCAAATGAAATTTATCAATAATGAACAAATTCTATGTGACCGACAACTCCTTTCAATGAAAAACAATGACGACTAAGCAAGAAAATTTGAACTAGCTTCTCTCTCTAAAAAAAAAAAATAATAACGTTCAATTAGTACACATTAATGTGTGTTTGAGAGGGGAAAGATTGAGTACATACCTAACCTTTGGTATAATGCATAAAGTGGTAGTCCCAATACTTGAACCCATAACCTTGAGGTTATTAGGCCAAGTCTTAACCATTGAACTAATGGTCACCCCCTTCTCTCTCTCTCTCTCTCTCTCTCTCTCTCTCTCTCTCTCTCTCAAGCATCAAAATAAGAAATGAGAAATTTTGACAAGTTGTCTTTAATTACCTATGTAGCTTTGCTGTTGATGGAGAATGATGTGGTTGTTGTAATTGGCCTTCGGCCCTCTGGACGGCCCTCTAGAATAGCACATGTTATTTCTCATGTTGTCAATGAACTTCATGTGTCGCTCATGTCATTTGCGGCGACACCCAACACTTTCGGCATTGCAGTTTCCTTACTTCCTCTGCACTAGACACAGTGACTATTTCCAAATGTATGCAATAGCTAATCTGATCAAATTTTATGGCTGGAGAGAGGTGGTCACCATCTTTGTCAACGATGATTATGGAAGAAATGGGATTTTCGTATTAGGTGATGCCCTTGCAAAGAAGCATGCCAAGATTTCTTACAAAATTGTCTTGACTCTCGGAGCCTCTAGAAGTGACATCAATGACTTGTTAGTTAGAGTAAACATGATGGAATCTCGCGTTTATGTTTTTCATGTTAATCCAGACTCCGACTTGACAATTTTTTCTGTAGCAAAGTTGCTTTGGATGTTGACCGCTGACTATATTTGGATTGCTACAGATTGGCTTCCTTTTGTGTTAGATTCATCAGAATCAGTTGATTGTAACACAATGAATCCCTTATAAGGGGTTATTGCACTTCGCCATCACACCCCAGATTCTGATCTCAAAAAGAGTTTTACATCTAGGTGGAAAAACTTCACGTATATGGGAGACCTCGAGCTTCAATTCTTATGCACTCTATGCTTATGATTTCATTTGGCTACTTGCCTGTGCACTTGACGTTTTTTCAACGAAGGAGGAAGCAGCTCATTCTCGTACGACCCTAGGTTACACGACACTCATGGAAGCACACTGCATTTGACAGGACTTTGTACTTTTCAAGAAAGCCAAAAACTGCTCCAAATACTTCTTGGAATGAACTTCACAGGTCTAATTGGTCAGATTCAATTTGACTCAAAGAAGAATTTAATTCTTCCAACATTTGATATTCTTAACATTGGTGGGAATGGGTCTCAAAGGATTGGTTACTAGTCAAACTATTCTAGTCTTTTTGTCATTGCTCCCAAAATCTTGTATATGAAGCCTCCAAATATTTTTACCAGTAACTGACATCTTGACAATGTAATATGGCCTGGAGAAACCACAAAACAACCTCAGGGTGGGTGTTCCCTAACAACAGAAAGCCTTTGCAAATTGCAGTGCCTAACCGAGTAAGTTATTTAGAATATGCAACCAAAGACAAGGGTCCACTTACGGTGAAAGGATACTGTATTGATGTCTTTAAAGCTGCAATAAAATTGTCGCCCTACGCTGTACCCCATACGTATACAATATATGGTGATGGTTTGAGAAACGCTTCCTATAACAATCGTGTGCACGATGTAGCCCAAAATGTGAGTATTTTCTATTATTATACTCAAAATTATGGTATTGGTATGAACCAAGTAGATTAAAAATATATGTTGACTAGGTTGCTTTAGGGTTTCGAAAATATTGTCATGATCTTCTTCCTTCTTTAGAAATATGATGCAGCTATGGGGGACATTATAATTATAACAAACAAAAAAAGGATTGTAGCTTTTACGCAGCCTTGCATGAAATTTGGACTTGTCATAGTTGTTCCTATCAAAGAGATAAAATTTAGTGCTTGGGCTTTCCTCAGGCCTTTTACTGTGGAAATGTGGTGTCTCCCTGGTGCTTTTTTTCTTTTTGTGTAAGTTGTTGTTTGGATTCTTGAGCATCAAATGAATTCCGTAGCCCGCATCAAATGAATTCCGTAGCCCACCAAATCAACAACTTATAACAATCTTCTGGTTAGTATCTCATAGCACATACTTCATTGAAAGTGTCATAACCCGAACCCATCCCTAGAGGTTTATCATAATCGATCAGTAATCATGAGATTACCTACAGCCTCAGACAAAAATTTCAAAACATAATTAAGTATATAGGGAAAAAAGTGGAAGCAGCATAATAAAATTGTCTAACGAGCTGTGTATATATGGCATAAAACATCTTATACGTTAATAGCTCACATTCATACAAAACACATATTCATTAAATATTCATTACTGATTGCATATTCAAAGACTTATACATAAGAGTATAATTCATCATCTTACAAAACTTGGACTCTCTTAAACAAAAAACGATCAAGCATGACCAATAAAAACAAAAAGGCAAAGGCCTCATCTGAGAGGCATTCCTTGGCGAACATCACAAAGCTTGGGTGAACTTCTAGGGAAAACTCTAGGGCTGAACATCCTACTGCTCACCTACATATATATATATATATATATATAACGAATTAAGCTAAAACCCAGTGAATAATACCAAAGTAAATAGGTAATGAATGAGTTCCATTGCTTACACATAATCGTTTTCATATCATATTCATTATATAACAGAACGACCTCTGGTCCAATACATGATGGAACGACCTTTACTCTAATAGATAACAAATATACAGAACAGAACAGATCATAACTTGACAGAATGACCTTGGGTCCAATTGATTACAGCTGTATCAGATCAATGACCATTTGGTCAACACATAACAGATATCTCAGACTTATTAGATATACAAAACGACCTTGGGTCCATCCTCTCAGATATACAGAATGACCTTTGGTCCATCATTTATATTCATACTTCGTCAATCACATTTACAGATATCATGTTGATCAAACGAATAGAAAGCTCATTCATATTTAGAAAACATAAGTTTAGAAAAGCGTACCACATAGAAACATTTAGAAAATAGAATGTATAAAAATATCTTTACTAAGATATTGCACATAGCGATTAGATTGTTGTCACATCCCCGTGGATCAACCTACACAACATATAAACGTATACATACATTGTAACTCATAGCTTACTTGAATCATTCCTTTCTATTCAATTCTTTTAAGTCCATTTCTAACTTATTAATTCATTCATGAGGCTTAATTCATGCCTTAAAATGCTCAGATAGGAATGAGAGTGCAATTATGATCAGCATGCAACTTTTTAAAGTAAGCTGAAATAGGGTAGTTCGCTTGAGCGCACAATCGATTGCTTAAGCGGACTACATGGTCTGCAAAAGTACTGGATGCACAAAATCTAGGTTTGGTGGCCACTCGAGCCAAGTCCAATGAAAGCTAAGGTCGCTTGATCAGACACTTGGTTGCTCGAGCGATGTGTAACTCTGCAAAAATACTGGAAGCTCTCATTGTGCGCTCGAGCTGTGACTTCATTACTCGAGCGATTAGGCCGAATTCTGGGCTTCCAAAACAGAATTTTGATCTTCAAAACTTGGGTCCAAAATGTAAAGCCTTGCATAACACACTAAACCATGAAAACACTTCCAAAAACATGAGTATAAAGTCAATTCTAAACCTTTAGCTCAAAACTCCATGATTTCACCAAAATTGAAAGTCAAATCTTCATGCATGTATGAATTTGTTTCAAATTCTATTCCATAACTCTCAAAACTTGAAATTGAACTTTAAAACTCTAAGAATCATGGATGCATGTATGATTCAACTCCTAAATTCAACATAAATGACAAAAATCATAATAAAAATGATGGAACTTTACAAAATTATGCATGCATGTATGTCTAACTTCAATTTAACGCATCTTTAAGCCATTTCTTGTGTTTAATCTCATATTCTTCTTGAATTCATAAGCTAGGTAAGTTATCTTCATGAATTAAGGTTGAATTCCATACCTAGAGTCTTGAATTTAGCTTGCTTTAGCAAAATCTTGAACTTCTCTTCGTAAGTCTTCATTTTCCTAGCAATTCTCCAAGCTTCCTAGCTTCTCTCTGTCTAGAATGAATTCACTTTCTCTCTAAAACTCTCCAACAGAAATTTTGAGCTCAAAATGAATAATTCTCTCTTCTCTTATCATATATATACATGTTGATTAACTTAATACACTAATTAGGGATAAACCTAACTAATTAGAGCTTAAGGCTAACTAAACAAAACTTAATTTAATTAAATTGAATCAATTTTTAATCAAACTCTCCAATAGGCTCTAAAAATCATGACATCCTAATTAAACTTATCAATTTCAGTTTCTGAAGTCATTAAGGCTCTCAATTTCAGATTCAAAACGTAAATCATAACAGATAATTCACAAATCAAACAGATACACACAAATTAATTGCAAAACACATAAGTACAATTCAAAATTAAATAAATATAAATATGTTACGTGGTGGGGTTATGACAAAAAGCCCTCTGATATATGGGATTTACAGATGATATTAAAAACCTCGGTGATTGATCTTGATGTTATTTGAGTGACCAATTTCTCTTATCAGTCTCTTGGCAAATCATAACATCTTATATGTTAAAACTGTTGCTTATTCAATGAATGCTATAAATAGTAAGACATGCTTCTTCTTCTTCTTCTTCTTCTTCTTCTTCTTTTGGGTTTTTTTTTATTTTTTTTTTATTTTTATCAAATAGCGCAAGTTTACTGGTTCAATTGACTACTCTTAACTATAATGAATTACATCATAGATTATGCGGTATCAATAATTTGTATAAAACTAGTGTGGTTATTTAAGCATCTTGACCTAACACTCCATTTGCTTTGTGGATGTTAGAGAATTACTTATATGATCGCTTCTAATGTTGTAGGTTCAGTTTCTCAATAATATTTTTTGCACACAGTATGTTGCCTAATCTGTTGTGTTCACTTTTAATTATTGCATCATGACATTTTTAAGTGGCAATACATTAATATTTCTCTGCTTGGAGTTGAATACAAAAGAGAACACTGTGAGCACCCTGGGACGTTTGGTGCTGATCTTATGGCTCTTTGTAGTCTTAACTATCGATTCAAGCTACACAGCTAGCTAGACATCAATCCTTACAGTACAACAGCTGACGTCAAATATTGAAAAGATTGATAGCTTGATCTCAAGTACCGATTCAATTGGAGTTGAAGATGGATCATTCTGATTGAAAAGCTCAACATAGCAGAGTCAAGAATGAAAACATTAAAAAACCAGGAAGAATATGTTGATACCCTTCACAAAGGTCCAAAAGCAGGGGGAGTAGCTACAATTGTTGACAGCTTCCTTACATTAAGCTCTTATTGTACAAGACCAACTGCAAATTTAGATCTGTGGGACAAGAATTTACAAAAAACGGATGGGGATTTGTAAGTATTTTCTTAGTTTAATCCTGAACGAGTAATTATTGATGCAATATTTGAAATGGCTAAGCCAAACTTCGATCAGATAAGTTTTAAGATGTCATGTTAATATCAATAGAAAACAAAACCCATGAGATGTGACCAAAATATATCCTCGTTGCATAAATTTGATATTTATCTTATATCAGACTTGACTTTTGGCTAAATCTTATACGCTTCTAGGCTCTAGTATTTGTGTTACTTTTTTTTTCTTTTTTTTTCATTTATCGAATAGTGCTTACGTCTATGATTTTGATTCCAAGAAGAAAGTAAGATTGTGAGGGTTCTTGCTACGTATAAACGTTCTGTGTGTTGTGAGATTTTCTTTACAAAGTTATTTTTAGGCTATGTTTCGATTAAGGATTTAAGTGGGAATTTTATGATGGAAATGAAAAGGAAATAAAAATTAACTTTCATTTCATTCACTTTTCGTATCATTTTTTTCTTCCTCTTCAAATCCTTGATCCAAATACACAGCCTCCATGTAACTGGATGATG